CCCCCCCGGGGGGGAGCGGGGGGACGAGGGGTCCTCGCCCCCACCGCCGCCGCGCCCCAGGCCGCTGCCCTGCTCCTGCGAAACCTCCTTCTAGATGCTCGACGACGGCGGGGCACAGGTCACCCGTCGCTGCGGTGCAGGAGGCCTGCGGGGGCCTGTCTAAATCCCAGCTGGCAGGAGTGTCTCCAAGAGAGCGACACTGAAGCTGTCTCTTCCTTCACTCTCCATTTAGATTTTCTCCTAACGTTGACATGGCCTACTCGCTTCCAGTATCATTTCCTCCCTCCGTTCCTCTCACAGTTCCTCATTTGGAGCAGAGTCCCCTTTGGAAAGTCGTAAAAGCAGAGTTAGAGTGGCTCTCCAGGTGGTTCCCTTTCAGGCTTCCATGGTGTTCTGAATAATACCAGTTTTAGCTAATTTGCCGGGTTTTTATTATTTGCTGTGTTATCATCTGTTTTCACTTGTTTTGAATTGTGCTTGAATCAAATGTACCTGGGGACCAGCGCGTTTCCCTTTCTTCCCCTGAGAGAGAATTCACACATTGGTCTCCCTGGGGAGAGAGAGCTGTACCCGTTAATACTGTCATAAATGGAATCGCGCGGTCACTTCAGGGCCACAGAGTATTTGCAAAATAAACATATTTCCCACAGAGCAATTAGTAGGTTGTGTTTTGCATGAGAATGTGTTTTCTCAGAAGAAAATCACCCTGTCCTTTATTTCTAGTCTAGTTTCCGCTTAGTGGAGGCTGGAATTGCAGGAAGGACACACTGAAGCTCCCCTAGGTTGTCTGGTTTCTGAAAGAAATCACCCCTGGGCCTAGACCAGCCTCCAAAGCTGAGATGTTGTGCCCAGACGGTCGGTCGGAGTTTCAGTGCAAAGTCCCCAGTGAAGTAGAGAAGGGAAGCAGGAGGGTGGTACCAGTCCGGATGTCTGGGGCGAGGGAGGGAGGGCACTGAGGCAGACGAAGCCTCAAGGAGCTAAGCCTGAAGCTGAAACCCCAGAACGCCATATACACTTAGAAAGGAGGCGTTCAGTGCCCGCCTGCCCGCTGGCGTGGAGTATTCAGAACAAGGGCAAGACGTGAATTAGATTAGTGACCTCCTCCTCTTAACTGGCCTTGGTTCTAGAGAGAAGTGGCAGCAATTTTGAATACTCGTGTATTTACCAGAGACTTTCACCTGAGAATCTGAAGCTTTCCATTACAGTGTTTCTTGTTCATACGCAAGTGTGGGGCTAAGAGGCAGAGGGGGGAAGATTTTGTTAAAGCTTATTGTAGAGCCAGGCTCTCTGAAGGCTCTGTTAGGTTCACTGAAATGTTCCCAACACTTAAACAATGCTAGACAGATGGAAGGAACTCTCTCTCTCTCTCTCTCTCTCTCTCTCTCTATATATATATATATATATCATGATCATGATTTGAATCATGATATCATGATTCAAAGAATGGATAAATGTATGCAAAAAGGACATTTTCATTAAGCATGGCTTACTGTCCTCCAAAATTTTTTAAAGAATTATTTTTTTATTTAATTCCACTTATTGTTGTTGTTGTTGTTGTTGTTGTTTAACTTGACCAGAGAGAGAGAAAGGGAAAGTGAGAAAGCAGGCCACCAGGTCTGGGACTCAAACTGCAGTTGGCCATGTGGGAATCCAGCACTTTTAACCTCTATGCCACCTGCGGGGCCCATGTCCTCCAAAATGTTGACGTCAGATATTATAGACAGTTTTTTTCTTCCTCTCTTTGCTCCTCCCCACCTTGTTGAGGATGCTATGATCTGCAAAACAACAGGAGTATGTCAGCCAAAGAGAGAATTCCGTTGTCCTCGTTAACGCAAATCTGGGTTATGGCATGCAGTGTCACATGTGCTTTAACAGGGAGTCTTGTTAGGGTGCTGAGCACTGAACAGGAGCAGTTAGCATAATGGCTATGTCGCTGAACTCCCATGTAGTCGACCACGGTTCGAGTCCCACACCCGGTGGCTTAAATTCACGCCAGGCACATGTGCACACATGCCCAAGATCCCTAGAGGAGAATGGAGGAGAAGGGATTATGGCGTGGCCATCCCCCCTGGGGGGGGGTGATCCCTTGCTTTCTGTCTCTCTGTCTCTCTCTGTCTTTCTGGCGAGCGCACATGCCCTATAGTAAAAACCACTCCAGAAAAAGAAAATAATCACACTGGGTACACAGGCGTGCATGCCCGAGATCTCAAGAGGAGAGTTGAGAAGGATTGTAATGTGGCTACAATCACTCCTGGGGAATGAGTTCTCACTTTCCTTCTCACTGCCTCTCTCTGTCTCTGTTTTTCTCCAATGAGCACCACGCCTATATCAAAAACCTTAAAAAAGAAAAGAAAGAACGGGCTCACCAAGAGGCTGCGTCTTGTCTGAGTGGGAGTGACCTATAGATAGAAAAGGGTATCCTAGACAATGGGAGTGGCATTAGTAAAGTCCAGGGGAGACCAAACCTATGGTCCAGGAATGACAATAGTCTCAATGTCTGACATTAGGGTGCCCGTGGGGCCTTATATGATGGACTATGTGACTGGAGTGATCCAGCCTGCATCCAGTGAAAAAGCTGTTTATCAGGCCAAGAACGCAAAGAGAGTTTGGATTTCGGCCACCGAAGATTCTCTATCCAGACTTCACCCTCCTGCTCCCCAGTCTAGCCAGGAGCCAGGTTAGAGCACCCCACTTATTCTCTCGCTCTTTCCAACTATACACATTTTAATCTTTTTTTTAATTTTTAAACATCGCTCTTTGCTGCTTTTTGTCTTTGTATTTCTTACCTTTGCCCCTGCCCCCCTAGGATAAGCCAATCAGCAGCCATCTATATTTGAGTTCTGAATGGCCCCCTTCATTTTTTGGCAAAAAAATTTGTCTCTCTTTTTCTTATTGTTTTTGACTCTTTTTTCTCTTCTTCTTTTTTTTTTTTCCATTTCTTTTCCTTTTCTTTTTACCTTTCTCACTTTTCTGCTCAGCCTCCACACACTGATTTCCTAGACAGGTCTAGGTACTCAGTAGCCAAATATTTGAATGTTTTTAGGGTCAGGCTAATCCTCAATTTTCCTTGAATCAACTGTGCAAAAGGAGAAAAAATGGTACTGTTTACAGACTACAGGTCACCTCCTTCCTCATTCCTCTGAATGTTCAGATTTAACTCCAAAAAATCAAATAAAAAAGCAAAAACAAAAATGTATAATCTGCCAGATGACCAGAAACCACCACAGAGGTACAAGAAATACGGGAAACCAAGACAATATCTCTCCTCTAATGGAAAATAATAACTTCTCTTACTCCACAAAGAATATAAGGGAACTCATGGAAATGCCAGATAGATAAAGAATTTAAAATATTCATAGTGACAAAGCTAACAGAGATGCAAGAGAAGAGAGACAATGAACTCCAGAAGATACAGGAGAAATGAGACACGGAGTTCCAGGAGGTGAGGAAGTTCTTGTATGATCTGAAAGAGGAGATACACATCATAAAAAAGAACCAAATGCAATTGTTAGAGATGAAGGCCGTAATACAGGAAATCAAAACTTCTGATGAAAATATCAAAAGCAGATTAGATCATGCAAGATCGAATCTCAGATGTAGAAGGTAAATTGTCTGACCTAGAGAAATTCACCAAAAAAAAAAAAAAAAAAACTGAGAAAATAACACAAAAAACATGAGAATAACGTACAAGCAATACTAGATACCATTAAATGCCCAAACATCCAGATCATCAGTATCCCAGAAGCTGAAGAAACTAATAAGGTCATGATTATCTACTCCATGAAATCCTGGAAGTAAAATTTCCAAACCTAGAGAGGCACTCAAATACCCAGACCAAAGAAATACAAAAGACTCCACATGGAATCAAACCAAGAAGATCTTCTCCAAGACACATGGTAGCCAGATTGATCAAAACCGAAGACAGAGACAAGATACTAAAATTGGCAAGAAAGAAACGTCAAGTTACTTTTTTTTTTTTTTTTTCTCTTTTTCGGAGAGGTTTTCGCTATAGGGCGTGTGTGCTTGCCAGAAAGAGAGAGAGACAGAAAGCGAGAAATCACCTCCCAGGGGGAATGGCCAGGCCACAATCCCTTCTCCTCCATTCTCCTCTCGGGATCTTGGGCATGCAAGCACACGCGACTGGCATGAGTTTAAGCCGCCAGGTCTGGGCCTCAAAACGCAGTTGACTACATGGGAGTCCAGCGACATAGCCATTACACTAACTGCTGGTCCCATGTCAAGTTACTTTCAAAGGATATCCCATCAGGCTGGCATTGGACCTCTCATCGGAAATAATGCAAGCAAGGAAAGAATGGGAAAAATATATTCAAAGTGTTCAGTGAAAAACAATTTCAACCAAGAACACTATACCCAGCAAGATTATCTTTCATAAGGGAAAAAAAGACAAAAACATTCTCAGATAAACAAAACCTGAAGGAATTTACCAACACCAGACCAGCTTCCCAAGAAGTGCTGAAGGGAGCGCTATAGCAGGAAAACTAAAGTCGGACACACAGAAATAACAGTAGAAGAAACAGCCAAGAGAATGGCCAGCCTAATGGTAGGGACAAGTCCAGAGTTGAATGTTAACTTCCAGAGTTTAAATGGAAAGATCAGACCACAGTAACTGCAAATTCAATAGAAGAGAGATTAATTATGTGAGTCTGAACTACTAAAATTTTTTTTTTTTTACTTTAGACTAAAACATTACTGATTTTCTTCAATGCTTTGATTTCCATATTTAAGGATTTTTGTCTTCTTTTGAACTGTTGATAGATTCATTTACCTACTATTTGAACTGAATCCTAACCTTTTTCCTGGCTTTAAGTTTTAAGCAAATTTCTCTTAAAATATTTTTTATTTTGATCTATTAAAACTAAAACTAATTTTTGAAATTAAAAAATGCATTAAAAATACCTATTAATACCTCTTTAATGACTACAGTAAGCTGTATCGCCCCAGTGAGGTGCTACTTTCTAGTACGTTCACTTTATTCACTGAGGTTTACGCCTAAAGTCAGACATGCTTTCATAAATATGTATATATCAGCTGTGTTTGCTTTCAAAAGCCTTTAAATTAATTAAGATCTTTAGTGAATCAATAAAATGTGGGGAAAAAAAAGACATGGAAAACAATTGTACATACCAGACAGTGTGGGAGAAGGAGGGAAGTTGGCAAAGGGTGAAGGTAGGGAATCAAGGGGGTGGAGGGATAGCAAAAAATATACGAAACAAGAAATAGAAAATTATTTGTTGATGATAACATGTATGGTAATATCCTTGATTGAGCCAATATACAATGTATACTGGATGGAAAATCTCATTTTGTATACTGTATTG